GAAATGGAGAACATAGGAAATCGTAATTGTCTTGCTGCGATTATGCAAAGTAAGAGGACAGATGCTGTGAGGACAGATACTAAAGGTACCAGCTACGCTGAGCTCCAGGATTGCGGGAAAACTTCCCAGGGACTTAGTGGCTGAGGCCCTCACAAGAGTCAATGGATGACTAGGAATTACCTAGGAGAAGCATTCACCAGGGAGCACCGAGGCCCTGGGACGGAAGGTTTTTGGGACAACTGAATTTGTTCTTTCTTAACTATAAATATGCAGCATGTTGCTGTGGATGTGTTTAAAGGTTAAGGGGAGAAAAATGGTTTGAGATCAACGCAGCGGTCGGAAGCAACATCGACGGCGTACCAGTAAGCAGAGATGAAGAATTTTTATCTATTTACGTTAGAGCAATGGTTTCCAACCAGGCACTGTTTTGCTCCCTGATCTTGCAACATTTGTCACTGTCCAGAGTCAATCTCTGGGAGATGGGAGCTGGGGAACACTACAGGTATCTAGTGAGCAGAGGCCAGGGGTGCTGTTAGACAGCCCTCATGCATAGGACGGCCCCACAGCAGAGAATTACCCGGCCCCCAAAGTGATTATGGTGTTGAGGTTGGGAAACCCCGCACTGGAGCCCTAAATTAGGGTAGAGGAAGCCTCTGCCAGACCCTGTGTTAAGGCGGGTTTTTCCTTTCATGTGATGGACAGAAAGCAGGGAGTCAGAATCCGCGTTCCGAGGGAAGCACGAATGGCTAAGGCAGCGATAGAGTAAACATAATCGATCTTAGCGCGGTGTCATTCTGCATCCCTGGCTCCTGAACTTCCCTTGACCTTGTGAGAAGTTTCTATCTTCATCCTGTTTTTTTGGGCAGTACTGTTGTGTCTTGACCGACCTGCTTCCATTCATCTAGTTCAGCGTTTTAGCCAACTCCCTAAACAAAAATCCTGTGCGTTTACCTTAGTAGGAAATAAAAGTGCTATTTCTGGAATGAGTGACGGCCTCCTGCCCCCCTCCACATGCCTCTTTGCTGTGCCTCGCCCCGCCGGCCTGCCATGCCCCTGCCTCAAGGCTTCTGCACGGCTTTTGTCTCCTAGGAAAGAAACCTTTGCTCCAGAGAGCTCCTGACTCCTTTCTCAGGAATGTCCCCTTCTCATTGAGGTCTTTCTTTCTACCTTGTTAAATACAAAGCCTCTCTATTGCCTGTCTCCCCCCCTGCTTTACTCTTTTATGCGTTTCTGTGTATCCTTCTGCCTTTCGCCGCACACGAGTGTCGGCTTCACAAGGGCGAGGATTTTCTTGTCCATCACTGAGTCCCGAGTACCCACTGTGATGTCTGGTGTGGCACTGGGCGGGCTCTCAGTGAACATGGTGAAGTCAAGAAATGACTGAGAGTAAAAGAAACGGTCTTAGGGCTAACTGGTGGCTGGGTTTCACATGGCTGGCTGCGTGGTTCGAGTCCTGGACCCAGCAGCTTGAAAAACATGTCAGGCACATGTCCATGTGTGCCCAGAGTCCCAAGAGGAGAATGGAAGAGACAGGATTACGAGGGGCCGTCCTCTCTGGGATGTCGAGACCTGCTAGGCAAAAAAGGATGGTGGACTTTGGAAAGAACAATCACACAGACACCGAGACACACAAGTAGAGAAAAGTGGGGAGCGGGCGGCTGGACGTCTCGAGAGAACGCCGTGGCCCTGAGCCATTCCCAGGTTTATTCTTTCAGAGGGCAATGAGGGAAGGGAGACGCGGAACGTAGAGTCAGGAGTCTTCTGTGATCAACTGCAGCTGTGGAGCAGCTTGGTCTAAAGAAGCCCAGCGGGCCCTGTCTGGCGGAAGCAGTTTCAGCCTCCTCTGTGGTCTAGGCCAGAGTCTGCTGCGCTCGTCTTTAATGGTCGCCATTACTAGCTCGGGTTCTGCGCTCCCCGCACTGGGAGCTGAGTTCACTCTCTTTTTCTCTCCCTTTCTCTCCCCTGTAACAAAAGTTTTGTTTCTTTAAATAAAAAAAAAAGAAAAAGAAGAGAAAAAACTGGCAGCAGCAGCTGTCTTAGCCTGGTTCTCCAGATCTTGTTTACTCGCAGCGGGTGCTTGCACCCCTTTGCCCTGGTATACCTGAGTCATCTGATTTACTCACGGTCCTTTTTATAGTCAGTCCTATCTGTAGTTTGAATTCTTTTCCTTTTGTTCAATCAGAAATTATAGTAATTTATAGAGTAAATTATGGCTGGGACAGGTACACATTAGACAGTATCTTGCAATACAGGGCATTTCTTTCACTGTAAGGAGAATTACAAGTACAGGTCTCTGAGTTAGTTAGATGTTCTCATGGGAGAAGCTGCAGACACCATGCTCTCTTGAAGCATTTTGTAATTCAATTAAGATGACATTTTTAGAGGTTTGTGAATTCTCAAAATACGAAAAAGACTAGCAGAAAACAAGTGCATATTTGTGATGTCTTAATAATGCCTCATAACCTTTTATCTGCATAATAGTTACCATTATGTTGAATGACTGCTTAATATGACATTCTGTGGTAGGGTAATCCACTGTCATTTTAGAAATTATTCTGATAATACTGGATATTTCGTTGTTTAGCCTCAAGTGTTCATTTTTATAGATTATAGCAGCTCACATCTTTTGCAGTTCACATTTAACCCTCGCAATGTCCTGGGCTGGGGGTAGGGGGAGTGTGTTTGACACAAGATGAGTTGAGGAGCCGGGGGTGCAACAGGGTGACGTGAGCTGGGTGCATTAGGCAGTGGGGAAGCTGGGTTTTACCCGGCAGCCCATCCCTCAGGGCAGGGCATGCCTGCAGTAAGTTTTGTTTCCATTGAGTTACTCTTTAATGTACCTTTAAGTATGCTGGATTCGGTGCTGGCAGGTGGTGTGGTGGTTAAAGGCGCTGGATTCCCACATGGCCGACAGCAGTTTGAGTCCCGGACCTGGTGGCTTGCTCTTTAACTTTCTCTGTCTCTCTCTGGTCAAATTAAAAAACAATAACAACAAATGGAATTAAATAAATAATTCTTTAAAAAAAAAAAACAAAAAAAAAGATGCCAGATTAAATAGTGTGCACATCTTTGGGAATTAGCTTTGGAAAAGGAGATATTTAATATATTTGCATAGTAGCCAATATTTCTACATTTGACCTTTTACTTTTGGCTACCCTGACTCTTTTAAAATTTATTTAACTTTATTTGTTATTGTTATTTATTTTGGTTTTAATTTGACCAGAA